AAGGCGCCTGGGTTGGTTGGAGCGCATCTGGGTGAGTGTGCTGTGTGTGAGTGCATCCACATCTGCGTGCTTGTGTGTCTGTGGTGTCTGGGTGTGACATGTTTGAGTGTCTTTGTGCGTCCGGCGATGCGACTCTGGGTGTGTTTGAGTGCGTGTATGTGAGAGCATCGGGCTTGTGTGAGTGTGAACCAGAGGTGGTTAGAATTTGCACCCTCTGGGTGTCAGTGCCAGGTGGGTATGTGTCTGGGTTTGTCTGCCTGCGTGTCTTCAAACATCTGGGTGTATGAGTGTGATGAGTTTGGAGTTTTGTAAATGCCTGTAAGTATACCTGATTAGTGAGGGTCTAGTCTTGTGGCACTTTGTGTGTTTGCCCCTGGTCTGTGTGTAAGTGTATGTAAATGAGTGTGTACGTGCCTGTGCGAGTAGAACCGGGCATGTCTAGTGTGTGTGTGTGTTGTCTGAGTGTGTAAATGGGTGTATATGTGTCTGTATGAAGATCTGGGTTGTGTAATTGTATGTGTTGTCTGTGTTTGAGTAGGTAAATGAGTGTGTGTGTGTGTGTGTGTGTAGATCTGGGTTGTGAGGTTGTGTTTGTATTGCCTTGTATACGTGTGTAAATGAATGTGGAAGAGTCCACGTGTAGGTCTGGGGAGTGTGGAGTTGTGTGTGCCCGTGCGTTTGTCTCCGGGTGTGTGTCATTTTGTCTAGTGGGGGGCCCTTTGTGGGTCTGCCGCCTTCCGAGCATTGGTCTCTGGCGGCTGCGCAGGTGAGGGTCGCCCTCCGGAGTGTGTGTGTGTGTCTGGGTGTGGGAGCGGCGCCGCCCACTTCCCCAGAGTCAGTCACCTAGGCCACAGCTGTCTGTGTCGGGATGTCTCCAGGCCGGCAGCTCAGGGCCTCTAATTAGCGGCTGGAAGCGGGGGACCGGCCGAGGCGACCGAAGGCCTCCTCCTCCCGCGGCCAGGCCTTTGTCTGCTCTCCACCGCTGCCCAGCCAGATGTGGCCAGATGTGCGGCGCCCAGAGGAGGCCGCGGGCCGGCAAGGCCTGGGCAGCCGAGCCTTGGCTCCCATGGAGCGACCGGTGCCCCCACCCGGGCCGGGAGGAGTGCCTGGAGCCCAGGTCCCTCCAGGATCCCCAGGGTGGGATGGAGCCGCTGTTTCCGGGCTGTTTCCGCCGGCATTTCCTCCCGGCGCGGCACCCTCCCCAGCCTCCCTGACCCCGCCTCCGCCTCCACCTCCCTCCTGCCTCTAGAGGAGGGGCTGGGGCCGGGGCTGGCTGTCCGGGGGCGTGCACACGCACACGCGCGCGCGCGCGCGCACACACACACACACACACACACACACACACACTCTCTCTCTCTCTCCCCCCCCCATACCATCACTCACACTAGCTCATACAGTTCCACTTACACGCAAATAACATGGCAAAGCTCCCTGTTGCCCATCAAGCCCTAGCTCCCAGTCCCCTGACCCTCACCTCCTTGAGGGAGCTTCATCTTCACCTTCAGACCCACCAACCTACCTCCAAGCCACCCCACTAGCTGGGCCACCATTTCACATGGTTTCTGGCCTTGCCACTCACAGGCACCTGTATGCCCTCCCCAGCCCCCTCCTCACCCGCCCACCTGCCTTGGCTGGGTCCCTCATATTGTCCCCCCATACCCCACCTGGGCCAGAAGCAGAGAAGGGGGTCTGTGAGGTGTTAGAGACCAAGAGGTCTGGCTTCAAAGGACAGTGGTGGTAACAGGTTGGGGACCAGGAGACAGACAGGCTGGAAGATTGTGCACAGGGTTGGCAGTGGAGGAAAAAGAAGAAGGGCAGGCCCAGTGCAGTGAATGCTACCACCCTGGCATGGGGGTGGGGGAGTTTGAGCCTGGAGGGGCACAGGGGACCCTGATCAGGAAGGGCCTGGAGCCAGAGCGGGTGAGGCCCCTGGTGAAGGAACAGGGAAGATGGTGAGGGTGCTGTTAGGGGAACATGAGAAGCAGCGGGAGGCCAGGTCCAAGAACAGGTTCACTTCACTAGAGTGTGGAGGGGCGCCACACTTCCTCAGCGACCCCTGAATTCCCAGACCAGCTCTGCCTGAAGACCAGCCCGGCTCCTCCTCTGCCCCCTCCCTGGTTCCATTCCGCAGAAGAGTCAGCTTGACCCCCCAGAGAGGCCCCGCTCAAAGGGCAGCTGAGGGACAGAGCTGCCTGGGGGTCTGAAACAGTGCCACCGCCACCACCCGAAGCCCCGAAAGGTAAAAAAAAAAAAAACCAGAGGCAGAGGCTTCCAGCCCAGGTGAAGGGAGCAGAAGGGTTGGGAATTTCTGGGAGTGAGCTCCCCATCACTGAAGGTGGTGTAAGCAGAAGTGGGCAATGGGCAATGTCACTTCTAGGTCAGCTTCTTGGAGAAAAGCTGGCTCCCTCCAACAGAGGCCAAACTGCCCTGTTTGGAGATTGGCTCTCAGACTTGGCTGGGCTGCAAAGAAAACAAGACAGTGTGTGATTAAGGGGGAAATTACAGGAAGGAGGAGGAGGGGGCGGAGATGGGAGGAGGGTTTGGCACAGGGCAGTGGCCCAAAGTGGTGTCTGCGGCAGGCTGGCCCCGGGCAAATACCACAGAAACAGACCCGCAGGCTGGCTTGGTGCCCCGAGGCAGGAGCCAGAACTGAGGGCCCGGCAGGAAGGGCAGGGTGGAAAGGAGGCTGCAGGGTCAGGTAGGGGTGAACCCCATGGCCGGGGGTCCAAAGGCAGAGCACGGGACCTGAGTATACTTAAACTTGGGTTTAATCTGGGGTGAAAATTCACAGCCTTCAAATGGGCCCCATGCTCCCCTTGCCTTGCTGCCTCCTTGTCCCCATCTCTGCTCACTCGAGCCACTCAGGCCTTGTGGTCCTGGGCCCACACCAAGCTCCTCCCTGCCCCGGGGCCTTCGCATGGAAAGTTCCCTCTGCCTGGTGCACCCTTCTGCCTCTCCACATGTCCGGCCTTCACCCTTTGGCTTCTGAGTTAATTTCTCCTGAAGAATGTGTCATAGCCAAAACTTGCCTCTTGGGTCTCTTTGTTTACTTGTCTGCCTTCTGTCACTCCCAGGACACTGAGCTCCTTGAGGAGGTAGAAACTGTGTCCATGTCAGACTCTACTGAACCCCCAGATCCCAGGACAATAGTTACCCAAAAAGGATCAAAGTACTCTGCTACTTTCTGGCCATGGGATCTTGGGTGAATCCCTGAGCCATTTCCTCACTGATAAAATGAGCAGAATGAACACATATTCTCAGGGTTATTATGCAAATGAAGTGATGCAAAGATCTCAGGAGAGCCCTGGGTAGTACAAACAGTTTGCATTCAACTGTCAACCCAAATGTTGTCAGTTCGAACCCACGTACCAGCACTGTAGAGGGAAAGGCCTGGCAATTTGCTTCCATTAATGTGGTTGTTGTCATGTGTTGTCAAGTGGATTCCAACTCATAGTGACCCTATCGGAAAGAGTACAACTGCCCCATAGGGTTTTCCTGGCTATAATCTTTATAGGAGCAGGCCGCCAGGTCTTTTTTCACACAGAGCTAGTGATGGTTTCAACCACTGACTTTTTGGTTAGCAGCAGAGTCATTAACCATTGTACCACTGGGGCTCGGTTAAAGTTACAGCCAGGATAACCCCATAGAACATGGTTGTGGTCTGCACACTTGGGCTGCCATCAGTTGGAATCCCCTTGACAACAACAGATAACAACAACGTGGTGTCAAAGTCTCTGCCTGTCCTTTGAGGATGGAGGGCAATCCAGGGGACTACTTAATAAGGAAGGGGCCTTCAGGTCTTCAGACCTGGTGGAGGGGGGAATGCCTTCTGGAATCTTCAGGCTGGGAACAAGACGCTGCAGGCCCCGCTGTCATCTGGAGAGGGGCCTTGGCATGGGCTGTGCTTTGCAGCAGGACCAGGCTCACCTCTGACCCTGGCTTCCCCCACCCCAGGAGCCCAGGGATGTTGCCCAGGCTGTGAACAGGGGAGGCGGCGCTGTGGGGGCTGCCGGCAGCCAGGGCTGGGGAGAGACATGTGGACACGTGGCCACCATGGCTCCCACCTGCCAGATCCTCCGCTGGGCCCTCGCCCTGGGGCTGGGCCTCACGTTCCAGGTCATGCCACACGCCTTCCGATCTCAAGGTAGGAGTAGTCCAGGGGTGGCGGGGAGGGAGCAAGGAGTGAGGAAGCCATGTGGGGGTAGGAGGCGGGAGGGTGGTCAGTGGGTCCAGGAGAGGGTCATGGGGGCAGGCACTGGGTTTACTCAGGCCAGAGTCCTGCACTCAGTGACTCAGGTACAGGGGCCAGTGTCACCTATGCCAGCAGCCAGGTGCCAGGTGCCATGGGTCAGGCCTTTGCTCCCACCCCTGCCCATAGATGAATTCCTGTCCAGTCTGGAGAGCTATGAGATCGCCTTCCCCACCCGCGTGGACCACAATGGGGAGCTGCTGGCCTTCTCGCCCCTTGCCCCTCGGAGGCATCGCCGGGGCACGGGGTCCACTGCCGAGTCCCGCCTCTTCTACAAGGTGGCTGCACCCAGCACCCACTTCCTGCTGAACCTGACCCGCAGCCCCCGCCTGCTGGCAGGGCACATCTCTGTGGAGTACTGGACACGGGAAGGCCTGGCCTGGCAGAGGGCTGCCCGATCCCACTGCCTCTACGCTGGCCACCTGCAGGGCCAGCCTGGCAGCTCCCATGTGGCTATCAGCACTTGTGGGGGCCTGGTGAGCTGAGGGTTTCTGGGAAACGGGAAAGGTCTGTACATTTAGAAGAAATACACATATTACATATAATATCAGGAGTCCCTTGGTGGTGCAAACAGTTAAACATTTGATTAGCAGCCCAAAGGTTGGAGGTTCAAACCACCCAGAGGTGCCTCAGAAGACAGACCTGCCAATCTGCTCTTAAAAGGTCACAGCCTTGAAAATTCCATAGAACAGTTCTGTTCTGCACACATGGGGTGCCTGCGCATTGAAACTGACTGACATCAGCTAGCTACAACAATAATCACATATATAATAGGATCAAAACAACAAACTCACTGCCGTTGAATCGCATCCAACTCATAGTGACCCCTCCTGGGGTTTCTGAGGTGGTATCACTATAGGAGTAGATTTCCCAATCCACCTACTGAGGAGTGGCTGGTAGGTTTGAACCTCCAGCCTTCTGCTTAGCACTCAGATGCCTTAGGCACTACGCCACCAGAGCTCCCATATAGGATATAAGATGTGAAAATGCACTTAGAAATATCTCATGCAGCTCAGGGGGCAGGAGCGCATGGAGGGAAGGACACAGGGAAGAGGTGCCTATAGGGAGGAAGTGGGAGGGGAGCTGTTGCATTGGGATAAATTGTAGTAAATGTCATGATACGAAGTGTATGTGAGCTGCTGCATGGAAAGTGAATTTGCTCTGTAAATTTTCACCCAAATCAATTAAAAAAAAAAAAATCAGACATCATGGAAAAATATATATATATATCATGCTTCAGAAAAGGACATAATGGAAATTTTTTAATTATTTGGAGCTAATCCTTACCCTTAGGGGACAGCTAAAGCGGTACTTTGAGGAGAATTTATAACCTTGGTGAAGCTGGAAAAATTAACAAGCTGAATGTCTATCTCAAGAAGTTAAAAGAAAAGTAAACCCAGTAAGAATGGAAGGAATGACATCATAGACATAGAGACCCAGGGGTCCTGGGAGTCAAAACTGATCCAAACCCTCTGCCCTACTCCCCAACCCCCCAGCATGGCCTGATCGTGGCAGATGAGGAAGAGTACCTGATCGAACCCCTGCAAGGCGGGGCCAAGGGAGCCCGGGGCCCAGAGGAAAGTGGCCCCCACGTGGTGTACAAGCGCTCCTCCCTGCGCCACCCACATCTGGACACAGCCTGTGGAGTGAGAGGTACACCTGTCCTGGGGATGGACAGAGCAGGTGTATTAAAGCCTTACCTTGAGGCAGGGGTAGGCAGCTGGGTGTTTAAAACGATGGAGATTAATTGTCATGGAAAGAAGTTTTTTATTCTTGCAATTCTCGGGAGAACACAACAGTCCACGAGGCTACAAAGGTTTGCACCTGGGGGCAAGGTAACAACAAGCTGGAACCGCAGCAGATGGCTTATGTATGGCAAGCAGGGTGGGGTTAGCTGGGTTTCACAGACTTCCTGAGGATTGAGTATTTTGGATAATTCTGCAGGTTCAGGGGACATAGGAGCTGTCTCTAGGTGTTGGGTACCTGGTCCTTGGGTGATTGGGATGGGTACATAGTGGCCCAAGGGTATGAGAATCTGATAAGGGGAGTGGTTAGAGAGTGGAATTAATCAGCTTCTCGAGAAAGGGCACAGGCGGCCTCCAGCCAGGGCCTGAAAGCTGTGTCAAGACAGCATTCTAAGAAAGGATAGCACGGGGTGTCATGACATGACAGGAAGAAAGCTGCTGAGGAGATGGGGGTACAGTCAGGTGTCCCATCTGTCTGCTAGTAGAGCAGGAAGTTGTACAGTGTGACGGCAAAGTTCTAGAAGATCACACGGTTGGAAGCCCTAGCATGAAACCACCATTGTCATCAGATGGTCCAGCACTGAGACATACAGCTTTACAGCCAGACAGATGTCTGGTTGTAAAACCATTCCATCTCTAGGATTATTGTATAGTAAGGCACTAAAGCAGTGGGTTGGCTGCATCAGATACGTTGAGTAGTTACAGGATAAAACTCCAGACCGAAGAAGACTTGAGTCCCTGTCCAAAAGGTCAGAATTACAACTAGACTGGAGCAAGAGTTGTACGATAAGACACTTGGGGAATGGGAGACTAGGAAAGCTGTACAACCAGAACAGTCGTACAGTTAAAACAGGTCGATGTTTGGTGGAAAAGCAGAGAAGTAGACATTAAGTCAGTTGTTGTCTTGGGGTTTTCTAGAGAAACAACCAATGAAGTGTGTGTGTATGTGTGTGTTGTCTACTAACCTAAAGGTAAAGGGCTAACCAAAAGGTCAGTGGTTCGAACCTACCAGTGGCTCTGTGGAAGAAACGTACTGGGGCCCTGCTTCCATAAAGATTTCAGCATAGAAATCCCAATGGCACAGTTCTACTGTGTCATATAGGGTCATTGTTGTTATGTGCCGTCGAGTCGGACCCGACTCATAGTGACCCCTCCTTGGGTTTCCGAGGCAGTATCACTACGGAAGTCCCCATCTTCCTTCCGAGGAGTGGCTGGTGGGTTTGAACTGCCAGCCTTCTAGTTAGCAGTCAAGTGCCTTAGGCACTACGCTACCAGAGGAATCAGGATTAACAGCACACAATAACAACTTAAAGGTTGGCCGTTCAAGCCCACCCAGCGGGACTGTGGAAGGTAAGCCTAGGAATGTGCTTCCATTGAGATGAGAGCCAGGAAAACTGTGGAGCAGTTCTGCTCTAACATGGGGGTCGCTTGGAGTCAGAATTGACTCAACAGAACTTCCCAACTTGGAGAAAATGGCTCACGCAATTTGTGGGGGCTGGCAAGTCATGTGACAGACTGAAAACTCCTTCAAGCCTGTATCCCAAAATCCATAGGTGAACAATGAGAAGTGAGTGAGTGTGTTCCACGAATGTCTGTAGTCTGGAAGCAGAACACACCCAGGAAAACTCCTGAGGTCTTCAGCTGATTGGTTAAGGCCCACCTACATTATGGAGGGTCACTTGGTTTACTTAAGGCCAGCTGATCTAATCATGTGAAACTACTTCACGACACCTACTGGACTAGTGTTTGCCAAACAACTGGGCGCCATGGCCTCGCCAACTTGACACACAATGAATCATCACAGTTGGTGGTTAGAGTCTAACAGTGTGTGAGCAGGGCCTTGTGGCAGGCAACCACAGTCAGTTGTACAAAGTTGGATGGTGTAATGCTTAGGTGGCTATACAACCAGTTGGGCAGTGGGACCATCAGGTGGTGGGAAAGGGGGAAACTGGGTTGTTAATACAACCCGAGAGTCATGATGTCCGTTGGCTGGAGAGTTGGATTATGGGAAGGCCAGGAAGTTGTGGAAAACCACACAGTTCAAAGAGTGAGACAGACTGTTACACACCAATCCATTCGGAATGTGGAATTGCCAGAGTTGCCCAAGCATGCTGACGTAGTACACAGGGCAGTTGTTGAACTGACCGCTTTGGCAGTGGGACAGTAATGCAATTGTTCACTCAGACAGTTAGGCATTGCCGAGCCACTGGGCATTCAGGCCGTGGGAAAACATATCTATTGTGTAACAGACAGTGGGGAGTGAGGCTGTCATTCAACCAGAGTTTAGCAGTGGGACAGTCACACTGTTGTAGAACTAGACTTACGGATAGTGGGATTGTAGTTGTGTACTTGTACAGCCAGATATCGAAGTGGTGGGCAGCCAGTCGGACTGATGTACTATCTGGCAGGTAGTGGACAGTTGTAACTGGGACAAGATGACCAGAGACTGTCCATCCTGACTATTTGTGAGAGGGAGAACCAGACAGGCAGGGGTTGTATGAGGATGGTGGCTCACTCACTATACTGGGTCCCACAGACGAGAAACCGTGGAAGGGGTGGCCATGGTGGCTGCGTACCCTGAAGCCGCCACCTGCCAGGCCCCAAGGGAATGAGACAGAGCGAGGCCAGCCAGGCCTGAAGCGCTCGGTCAGCCGAGAGCGCTACGTGGAGACGCTGGTGGTGGCTGACAAGATGATGGTGGCCTACCACGGGCGCCGAGACGTGGAACAGTACGTGCTGGCCATTATGAACATTGTAAGTGCCTTCCCCTCCCTGGGCGGGGTCGGCAGTAGGGAGTAGTGCCACCCACCCCCTGTCCCTGACCGGGGCCAGGGCACTAGAATGGAGGTGGGGGGAGAGGGCTGTGCTTGGCACTGAATGGGGAGAGAGGAGCACAATGCTGGGAGCTTGGAGACTGGAGCCAGACTGCCCGGTTCAAATCTCAGCTCCGCCAGCTTTTCAGCTTTGTGCCCATGGACAGGGTGCCTCACCTTTCCTCCTTGGTTTACCAGAAAGAAACCAGACCAGTTGCCATCAAGGTAATTCCAACTCATGGCAACCCATGAAGTCAGAGTAGAACCGTGCACCACAGGACTTTCAATGGCTGATTTTCTGAAAGTAGATCAGTCACCAAGCCCTTCTTCCAAGGCACCCCTGGATGGTCTTGAACATCCAGCCTTTCAGTTAGCAGCCACGTGCCACTCAGTGTACTTCATTCCTTGGTTTAACCATCTACAAAATAGAAAAAATACCTGGTTCATAAGGATATGGAGGATTTCGTGAGTTGGTAAAGCACTTGGAACAGTGCTTGGCACGTGGTAAGTGCCATATAAGTGTTGTATATAAAAATAAGCACAGCTTTCAGGCACTCGTTAAGATTAGCAACACACACGCACACATCTGTCTACACACAGTTCTAATGCAAACCAGAAAAACCAAATCTGTTGCTACTGAATTGATTCCAATTCATAGCAACATAGGACAGAGTAGAAATGCTCCCATGGGGTTTCCAAGGCTGTAATCTTTACAAAGGATCCCTGGTGACACAGTGGTTAAAGCATTCAGCTGCCAATCAGAAGGTCAGCAGTTCAAACCTACCAGCCACTCCACAGGAAAAGATGTGGCTGACTGCTTCTGTAAAGACTACAGCGTTGGAAACCCTTTAGGGCTGTTCTACTCTTTGTGGTTGCTACAAGTTGGAGCAATGGACTTGGTTTCATTTGGGTTAATCTTCACAAACAGCTGAGAGGTTTGAACCACGGACCTTTCAGATAGCAGCCAGGTGCTTAACCCCTGTGCCACTGGTGCTCCTTTTCTCACACAAGCACCTACTTGTAAATTCATGCAGGCTGACCTTCCTGACCCACACACAGACACTCTGTTCCTGCACTAGACCTTGATCAACACTGTGGACCTCTTTGAACCTCGGTTTTCTCTGTGCAGTTATAATGGTATTGACTTCATAGGGTGGTGTCTCTGGGTGGTACAAACAGTTAAGGCTGCTAACCAAAAAGTTAGAGGTTTAAGTCTACTCAGAAGTTTCCTTGGAGGAAAGGCCTGGTGATCTACTCCTGAAAAATTGTTATTAAGTCCCATTGAGTCAGTTCTCACTCATAGTGATGCTTTGTACAGCAAAATGAAGTACTGCCCGGTCCTGCCCCATCCTCACAATCATTGCTGTGTTTGAGCCCATTGTTGCAGCCACTGTGTCGGTCCATCTCATTGAGGGTCTTCCCCGTTTTCACCGACCCTCTACTCTATTCACCATGATATCCTTCTCCAGCGATTGGCAATATGGCAAAAGTACAGGAGACCAAGTCTGGCCGTTCTTGCCTCTGAGGAGCGTTCCAGCTGTACTTCCTCTAACACAGATTTGTTTGTTCTTCTAGTGGTCCCTGGTCCATCACAATGGCCAATACCAGTCCCTTTCCACTCACTAATGCCTAGGATATTGATCTTCATGTGTTCCATTTCATTTCTGACTACTTCCAGTTTTCCCAGATTCATTCTGTACATTCTGCATTCTGATTATTAATGGAAGTTTGCAGCTGTTTCTTCTCACTCTGGGTCATGCCACATCAGCTAATAAGGGTCCAGAAAGCTTTACTCTGCCCACATCATTAAGGTTGAGTCTACTTTGAGGAGGCAGCTCTTCCCCAGTCCTACTTTGAGTGCCTTCCAACCTCAGGGGCTCGTTTTCTCCTACTGTGTAGGACAGTGTTTCACTGCTAGCCAAAGGTTTGCAGGGGCCAATTTTTTTTTTTTTTTTTTTTTCCTGAATCTTCTGAATTCTTCTGAATCCTAGCCATGTCCTTCCTAGTCTTTCTGAGTCTGGAAGCTCTGCTGAAACCTATCCACCACCATGGATGATGCTGATGGTATTTGAAATACCAGTGGCATAACTTCCAGCCTCATAGCAACATGCAAGCTACCACAGTATGACAAATTGACAGATGATTGGTGCTCGGAAAAATTATTGTTGTTAGGTACCGTCAAGTCATCTCCAACTCATAGTAACCCTATGCACAGCAGAACAAAACACTGCATGGTCCTATGCCAGCCTCACAATCCTTGCTATACCTGAGCCCATCATGGCAGCCACTGTGTCAATCCATCTCATTGAGGGCATTCCCCTTTGTTGACCCTCCACTTTACCAAGCATGACATCCTTCTCCAGGGAATGGCTCCTTCTGACAACATGAACCAAAGTCAGTGAGACGAAGTCTGGCCATTCTCACTTCCAGGGAGCATTCCAGTTTCACTTCTTACAGGACAGATTTGTTAGTCTTTTTACCAGACCATAGTATTCTTAGGATTCTTCTCCAGCACCACAACTCAAAAGCATCAGTTCCTCTTTGGTCTTCCTTATTCATCGTCTAGCTCTCACGTGTGTAAGAGGTGATTGAAAATACCATAGCTTGGGTTAGGTGCACCTTAGTCTTTAAGGAGACATCTTTGCTCTTCATCACTTTGTTGTTGTTGTTGTTGTTATGTGCCGTCGAGTCGGCCCCGACTCATAGCGACCCCTCCTTGGGTTTCCGAGGCAGTATCACTATGGAAGCAGGATTGCCCAACCTTCCTTCCGAGGAGTGGCTGGTGGGTTTGAACTGCCAGCCATCTGGTTAGCAGGCAAGTGTCTTAGCCACTATGCCACCAGAGCTCCTTTCATCACTTTAAAAGAGGTCTTTGCAGCAGATTTGCCAGATGCAATACGTCATCTGATGTCTTGACTGCTGCTTCCATTGGAGTTTATTGTAGAACCAAGTTATATGAAATCCTTGACAACTTCAATCTTTTCTCCATCCATGATGAAGCTGTTTATTAGACCAGTTGTGAAGATTTTTGTTTTCTTTATGTTATTGTTGTTATATACTGTCGAGTCGGACCCAACTCATAGCAACCCCTCCTTGGGTTTCCGAGGTAGTATCACTACAGAAGTAGATTGCCCAACCTTCCTTCCGAGGAGTGGATGGTAGGTTTGAACTGCCAGCCTTCTAGTTAGCAGTCAAGTGCCTTAGATACTATGCTGCCAGAGCTTTGAGGTGTAATCCATACTGCAGACTGTAGTCTTTAATCTTTATCAGTAAGTGCTTCAAGTTATCCTCACTTTCAGCAAGCAAAGTTGTATCATTGCAGATTGTTAATGAGTCTTTCTCCAATCCGATGCCACGTTCTTCATATAGTCCAGCTTCTCAGATTACTTGTTCAGCATACAAGTTGAATAAATACGGTGAAAGGATACAACCTTGACATACTCCCTTCTTGATTTTGAACCATGACGTATCCCCTTGTTCTGTTTGAACGACAGCCTCCTGATCTGTGTCCACGTTCTTCATGAGTCCAATCACGTGTTCAAGAATTCCCGTTCTTCTCGGTGTTTTCCATAATTTGTTATGATCCACACAATCGAATGCTTTTGCATAGTCAATAAAACATAAGTAAATATCTTTCTGGTATTCTTTGCTTTCAGCCAAGATCCACCTGACATCAGCAATGATACCCTTCGTGCCACGTCCTCTTCTGAATCCAGCTTGCATTTCTGGAAGTTCTCTGTCACTATACTGCTGCAACCGTTTTTGAATTATCTTCAGTAAGATTGTACTTGCAGGTGATATTAATGATATTGTTCAATAATTTCCACATTCT